ATATTCTACCATTTTATCTTTCATTTTTCCCAGCTCAGATCTGGTTTTCCCTGATGTCTTTTGAAAATGCAAATGAAAACAGGCTTGGGAAAAAAAAGCACGAAAACCTTGAAGCTTTAGAATGTTGTATAGGTGTATGAAAAGCTGAGTGTTTATTTCCAGAGGGTGAATTGTTATGGGGAAAGCTAAAATCCACCTTGGGTAAATGAAATCCTATGTATGTGCAAATACTTGGTATTCCGTAGAAAAAAGAAAAGCTCTTTAGACCTTGGCTGTGTGTACTGCCAGTAGCTTCAGGTGACTGAAGACCTAAAAGTTTATGCTTAGAAGATAACCTTTAACAATGCTTGACAGCTCACAATCATGTAGAACTTCTTGGTTTTAATTTCGCGTGACTTACATACCTTAAATTAGGAATATCTGCACCTGTGTTGTTTACCAGTTTTATGCTAGGAGACAAATTTGAAAAATACCATATTGTTTGGTTGTATTCTCATATTCCTTTCGAAACACAGACTGACAGAATCACAGAATGGCTGAGGTTGGAAGGGACCTTTGGAAGTCGTCTGGTCCAACAACCCTTGCTCAAGCAGGTCCATGTACAGTCTGTTGCCCAGGATCATGTCCAGACAGCTTTTGAGTATCTCTGAGGATAGAGACCCCATTGCCTGCTGTAGGTGACCCTGCTTCGGCGGGAGGGTTGGACTAGATGACCCACAGAGGTCCCTTCCAACTCCTACTATTCTGTGGTTCTGTGATAGCCTCTCTGGACAACCTATTCCAGTGCTCGGTCACCCTCGCAGGAAGAAAGCATTTCCTGATGTTCAGAGGGAACCTCCTGTGTTTCTGTCTGTGCCCATTGCCTCTGGTCTTGTCACTGGGCACTGCTGAGAAGACCCTGGCTGTGTCCCCTTTGCACTCTCCCTTCACGAATTTATATACATTAATGAGATCCCCCACAAACCTTCTTTTCTCCTGGCTAAACAGTCACAGTGCTTCTAGCCTCTTCTGACATGTAAAAGGCTCTAGTCCCTTAATCATCTTCATGGCCTTTAGTTGGGCACTCTCCAGTATGTCCATGTCTGTCTTGTACTGAGAGTCCAGAACTGGACACAGAACTCCAGGTGTGGCCTCACAAGTGCTGAGTAGAGGGGATCACCTCCCTTGACCTGCTAGCAGTGCTTTGCCTAATGCAACCCAGGATACCATTAGCCTTCTTTGCAGCAAGGACACATTGCTGGCTCATAGTCAACTTAGTGTCCACCTGGACCTCCAAGTCCTTTTCTGCAAAGCTGCTTTCCAGCTGGGTGGCCCCCAGCATGTACTGATGCATGGTGCAGGTGCACAATTTTGCATCTCCAGGTGCAGGATTTTGCATTTCTACTGGTTGAACTTTTGTGTGCCCATTTCTCCAGCCTGTTGAGGTCCCTCTGGATGGCAGCATGACCCTCTGGTATAGACGCCACTCCTCCCAGTTTGGTGTCATCTGCAAACTCTGCCCAATCATCCAGATCATTAATGAAGATGTTAAATAGAACTGGACCAGTACTGATCCCTGAAATAGATCACTAGTTACTAGCCTCCAGCTAGACTTTGTGCCACTCATCACCACACTCTGGGCCTGGCAATTCAGATAGTTTTCAATCCACCTCTTTCAGTCCGCCTGCTTACCCAGCCCATATGTCGAGAGCTTGTCTACAGCTTGTAGCAAAACAGGATCTTATGAGAGACAGTGTCAAAGGCCTTACTGAAGTCCAGGTAGACACTATCCGCTGCTCTCCCCTCATCTACTAAACCAATCATTTCTTCATTGACATTCATCAAGTTGTTCAAGCATGACTTTCCCTTGGTGAAGCCATGATGACTACTGCTGGTGAATTTTTTTGTCCATAATGTGCCTGGAAATCATACAATCATAGAATGCTTTGGGTTGGAAGGGACCTTCAGAGGTCATCTAGCCCAACCCCCCTGCAGTGAGCAGGGACATCTTCAAGCACAGAATCACAGAATCACAGAATGGCAGGGGTTGGAAGGGACCTCTGTGGGTCACCCAGTCCAACCCCC